AAACAATGAAATCGACAGATGAAGGTGGTTTGCACGGTTTACACAAATGAGGGCGGTTTTCATATGATCACTCCTCTATATATATATATATATAAACCACTCAATTTGTACAAATCGTGCAAACCTCATTCAACCAATCATAATTTTTCATTTTGTTCATTTTTTTGTAATTATGAGAGGTTGATTAATCATTCTTATTGTGGAGGGTGTTAATCATAGATATTATCATCTTCATTATTTTAATTTTTAGATAAATACATGAAACAGTTTCATTAAGTATTATATGAAACAATTTCACAACCATATATGAAACAACTTGATCAAAAAAAGTATTATATGAAACAATTTCACAACCATATATGAAACAACTTGATCAAAAAAAGTATTATATGAAACAATTTCACAAGATTAAACAATTTCATTAAAAAATTCATTAGATTAAACAATGAAATCGACGGATGAAGGTGGTTTGCACGGTTTACACAAATGAGGACGGTTTTTATTTGATCACTCCTATATATATATATATATATATATATATATATATATATATAAATAAATGATTGGGATCACGTGAGACCAGCTTGTTTTCGTAAAATCCGTTAGATATTTTATTTTTATTTTTGAAACTACACAGTAAAACATTGTAAAGGTAAAATAAAGTCGAGCCTTCACATGAAAAATATTGTGAATGTTATCTTCACAGCGTTTTACTATGAAATTTGAAGTGTAAAAAAGTAATCTTACGAGTCTTATAGCAAACTATAGAGATTGTTTGTTTAACTCTTGTTTTTCCTCCGAATGATTTTGTATCTTGGTCTTCTTTTAACTATTAAACCTCCTAATTTCATCGTAAACAATTATCAAATAATTTTATTTTATTTTGCACTATATAATGAGAGTTTTTTGATCATTCTGCATCAAACGATTCGACAACTGCTAAACAGCCCCATACTCTAGTGAAAATCTCGACTTATAAAACACGAGGTGTGCGGAAATTATGATGGCTTGGGAGATTAAAAGAAACCATAATTGTAGTAAAATAAAGGGGGGAAGTAGGATATGAATGAATGCACAATAATGTATTCATAATGAATAGGCACAAGTAATGGCATAAAAAAGGGGGTTTTGAAAACAGATACGATGAATAATGGGGTGGGTGGGGGTGTGTGTGTCATAAGTTTGGCTTGTATTTTACTTCGTTTAAATCGCTTTCCGATGCGAAAGAGATGCTTCACGGCTCTTTTTATAGCTTTTGTTTTTTTGTAAGGAGATAAGATTAAAAGTAAATGTAACGTCCCTTTTATTATAATTATTATCACGCCTACATTATTCCTACCCTTCTTTTCCCAATTTTCGTTTTCTTTATTCATGCAAACAACAAATTGAATCATGTTTTTTTAAACGATTTTTATAAATAACCTGACTGGTCAAATGTTCGGAACACGTATTCAAATACCGATAAGATTTGATCTTACGAAATTATATAGGAGTTTAATTAAATGAGAACTGTTTTGTTTGTGGTAACCGTGAGATCTGATCTCAACTACAAATCAAAAGTTAAATTAGAAAATTAATAATTTTGGTAATTTTAACTTAAAATATTAATTAAGAACATTTTATGGATTTTATAAATATCCTCTCTCATCTCTCATTTTTCCTCTCTTCGGCGACTCTTATTTGGCGAACCTTATTCCGATGAACCTTATGTGAACACAAGATATCCACTGTGATACTTACAAACGATATTCACTATGATATCAAGAAATATATACAAGATGTACAATATGATATCTTTTGTAAAATAATGAAAATGACGAAAATGCATATTAGGTAATTGATACAGTAGAAATGTATATATTTGAATTAATATGAGTCATTTATAATGTTTGTTTGGCATATAAATTTTTAAAATTATTTTTGGATTTTTTGAGGATATTTTCTTAATTTTTTCTTGTTATATCGATATTTTGAACTTTTTATTTGAGACAAAAATAAATGAAAAAATATATATCCAATTAACTAAAAAAAATACTTTTTTACATAATTCATTTGACTTTAAATATAATTATATATAATTAAAATTGAAAAATTTTAAAAAGGAAAAGAAAAAGAAAAAAGAGAGTGGGGTCAAACACGGACATTTGGGAGGCTTCCACTGCACCTATGCACTTTCCTGTTCCCACGTTGACATCACCACCTATCTTCACATCAACTCTTTTACATCATTCTTTAACGCCTTCTTTCTTTCTTTCTTTTTTTAATTATTTTTACAATTAAAAAAAATCATGTTATTAATCCAAATTATTTACATATAATAATCCGTTGACTAATTTGACCATGGCAATGCATACATACCATATATGGAGTTAGGCTTAAAGCTCAAATTCCATGAGTTGTTTTTTATATGCGAAAAAAAAAAAAAAAACCTTCAAGTTCGGCTCCAGAAGGATTCATAAAAATTACGTGATAAAAATTAAAACAAACTTTTCATTCAATAACCTTAATTAATGTACCAAAAAATCGTTAGCCATTTGTGTTGTGGTACACTAGTTAAAATTCAGGCCATATAGTCGATATCTAATTTTTCTTGGATTCGAATATAAACGTTGTAAAAACCCTTGTGGTCATCGACATATAAGCTGATTCGAAAACCCAAATAACTATATTTATTAGGGGTTATTTGGCAGTTGCTGAATAGTTCGATGCAGAAAGATTAAGTGATTAGAATGATTAAAATACTCTTACAATATAAGTGTAAATAAAATATTATTGTTTTGTAATTATTCAAATTGAAATTAAGGTGTGGAATGGTCAAGAAGATACAAGATACAAAATCATTAAGTGCATTTTTGAATCATTAAGAGCCAAAAAAAAAATTATCAACCAAGATTCAAAGATCGTATCTTAATAGAACTATTAAAAGGTAAATAATTAATCCTTATAGGGTTATCTATTACAAGTTTATGAGAGTCTTATCTCGTAAGCGAGCATCACTACTCATACCAGTAACGGCTTATTAGATAAATTGTTGCATACGATACCATTTAAATAGATTAAGTTTGATTTGAACTTGACACAAAAACTCAATAATAATTTCAAGCTCTACACGTTTCGAACTTATTTCTATACTTGGAGAGTTAATGAAGAAAAGGACCGTTCACAATAACTTCCATTTACCATTTTAATATTTGGTTCTTTGGGAACTTGTAGGATAAATTATGACATAAAAAACAACAGAATTCGACAAGAACATCAACAGTATGCAATTGAATAAGATTAGCAGATCATTTATAGATTGATTTGATTGATGGATTGAAGATGAACAAGAAGCAGAATGGATTATTAACAAAACAAAACAAAAAACTAATGATTTAATGGCTACAATTTGTTAGTTTTTTCAAACTATTTGTCATTGTGATACTGAAAATCGAAAGAAAATTTTGAATCATCAGGACATGTTCACATGAACACTGATGTTCTTTGTAGATTTACAAATAGGGCAAATGTTGACTGAAGAAGCACATACTGTGCAAAGGCAGAGATGTCTGCAAGGAAGCAGTAGAACACATGATTCTTCCTTACCACACTTTTTGCACAATCTGTTGTTGTTGTTGTTGATGTTGTTATTGCTGCTACAATCATCGTTGATGTTATCCAGATCGATTGGTGGACGATTTTCTTCATTGTTGCTTTCACAGCATGATTGTGCATCTTCGGCCAACGCCGCCGCGTCGTCGACACATGTCGTCGTGGTACGGTGGCGGTAATCGTCATGGACGACCTGTTCTAGAACTTGCTTCAAGTTGTTGCGTAATGCGTTGGCTGTTGCTTCGTTTGTTTGAGCTAATTCTCGCCAGATTTGATTCTCTACACACAGAGACTTGACTTTCTCTTCCAATGCCCAATTTAATTTGGCGATCTTCACGATTTCTTCTTCTTTAGCTCTCAATCTCTTCGAGATTCCTTCCTCAACCGCTGCGATTATTCTCCTTGAATTCCTCTTTCGTCTCTCTTCGACATCGAGTCTCACTTTCTCCGTCTGTACATCGATCGTTCAATAAAATTTAGGAACCAATTTCACCGACAAAATGAGAAAGTGCACGAAATCAAACAAGAGGATAAGATTATTACATGATGAGCGATGAATTGATCAATCTCTAATTGTTGTTGTTGGATCTGCAAAGAKATGTCTTCTCCGAGAAACGTATAGTTTCCAMAACGCTCCATTTGAYTCTGGTTCATGTTATGACTGTTAACAAAGGAAAGCAAGGTATTGATCTCAGAAGAATCCCTTGGTCGTTTCCTAGAAACTGGTAGGCTGCAAGTTAGGCCGCTTTCCGCCTTGATAGGAGCAGTATTCGCCGGAAAATGGTTGATGGAGTCGGTGAAACCAGAGCAATACATGGCCGTGGTGGTAGCTGAAAGAGGATGAGCCATTCCGAATGCTAAACCGTTGGTTTGATTGTCAATGGCGTTTGTCATGATCATTTGAGGATGGAAAAGAGTGTGATGACCTGCCTCAACCGCCATGAAAACTGTATGTTAAAGCTTTCTTCTTCTCCTTCTTGTTAATCTTTGAGGTTGCAAAGTAAGAATGGTGTGTTGAGAGAGAGAGAGAGAATCGCAAGGGAGAGAAGCATGCAAGCAAAATGAAGCGTAGGTGAGAAAGGCTTTCGATGGTGGGTTTTATTGGGGAGGAGATTGGGTTTGCTTTTGGAGAGAGAAAAATCATTAATTACAATATTATTAAAAAAAATTGTTATCGTCATTAGACCCTTTTCCTAACATCTCTAATATTTAATATTATATATATATATATATATATATATATATATTCACAGTCTTTTTGTTATAAAATTTCGAATGTTTTTTTGTTATCTAATGGGTCTCATAAAAATAGGTTGGTCTCATTGAACTCAACCCTGCATAGGGAGAGTTTCTAATACAAATTATGTAATTCATACAAATCAATATTATTTGTCTATCATATGTAATGAATATTTGATTTCATAAATATCTTGATTGTTTCATAATACAGCGTTTATCATAATTAAAAAACTTTTATCATATTTTATAACATATAAATCAAAATAGATAAACAATCTAACACTTATATAAATCATAATAAATTATATGTATTTAAAATCCCCTTGTGGTTACAGATGTTAAAATGCAGTAACTATAGGCTACCTGCAAAACAGGTAGCCATCCTGTGAGTCAACTTGCATAACGGGTTGGATATTCAGATTAATAATATATATATATATATATATATATATAATATGTGTAATGAATGTAGTATATGTCGGTTTCTATGTTAGGCTTGTACTAAAAATCATTACAAACATATTCTATTTTATTCTTATTTTGTATTCATCAGTAGCCACAATTACAAGAAGATATTATTTTTTAGTTTTCTTTTCAATTGTTCACATTGTCAGCTAACACTGATTTCACTCAAAAACAAAAGATTTTATCTGTATTAGTTAGTTTGAAAGATCCATCTAGGACATATCGAGACCATTTACAAGCCTCATAATCAATGTCGTTCTTAAAGGAGGACAAGATCCAAGACTTTGCAACGTCCGAAATAATAGAGGCGTATATTTTTTTTTCCAGCTTGGAGTTAGATAAAACCCCAAGTAATTTAAAATTTTACTTTGAACAATTAACATTGTGACTCAAATGATGTCATGTATTGAGATCTTTGATGGTAGAATTGAGTGTTGAGACATATATATATATATATATATATATATAGCTAATATTGATTGATTTAGCGTCTCGATATATTGAAAGAAATTGTTTAATACTCATAGAGAACTCTTTTTACGTATATTGAGGACCAATAAAATATCAAGAGCGGGTATACTCATAATTACTCTCATTTACCAAAAGACAAATGAACGGTGTAATATTCATATACACGTTTAACAGCCAATAAGTCGGTATCTGAATTAATGCATAAATAACTTTCCATTTTGGCTAAAGGGAAACATACATTGATTAAGGAGCCTCCGTTGTTGAATATTTACTAATAGGTGGTAGTTTGGGTCTAACAACAAGCTGAAATATGAATTGGGGCTATTTTGTGTCTTTCTTTCTTTAAATCTAGAATACAGATTAATATAAATATATCTGATTGGTTCATTAACAGGTACGATCTTGGTTATATTAGTTTGAGTACTGATAAAGTTTAGTTAGAGTATATGAATATGACATGTACTTTGATTTCTATGTTTATCTAGAATATTAAAAAGGTTCATGTATGTGACCACCTTTTATGTGTCTAGGGTTGGGCAAACTTTAATAAAAGAGGTGCAGGAGAAAGGTTCGAGTAGGCGTGTAAGGATGATAATAGGACAATATTTTATCAGATCTTCTTTTATTTTAATTTTTGTTTGACGTAGATGTGAGATGATATCTGAAGGCATGTTAGCATTATGGACAAATACAGGGTATAGTTGGTTACAAGATATGGGATGAGGTAATCGAAAAAAGAAGACATAATGGATTACGAGATGAACGTAATCAGATCAGATATAAAAAAAGAGCTAAAATACAGAAAAACAGATATAAAATTAATTAGCCATCATTTCAACAACTAGCAAAGATAAAGCTAATTAAGACATAATTATGGTGGGAGGTAGTGGGGAAGTTGGGTTTGCATCGCAATCGTTAGCTTAATTTATCTACAAATTAACATTTTTCTTTTTCTTTTTCTTTTTTCGATTAACGTGAAATTCTAATACAGGGTTTTGTTTTAAAACAGATAAAGTATACAGCAAGATAATTTCCGTTTTACTTCTCTTAACAACTCCAACACAACCCGAAGATAAACAAGCCTTTGATCTGTACAGATTCTTGTTTTGTGAAATACCTAGACATGGATCAGAAGGCGTGGTTGACGGTGCTCTCGTTTCGGTACCCCATTACACCATAATCAATACGTCATTCCTTTCATATCATATCAGATCAAATTCAAACAATTGCTACAGTTTTAATGTTAAAATGATAAAGAGATTTTGTAATGGTTGGGAAAAAGGGTGATTGTTACACACCCCCACTATTGATTTGTGATGATGTGTTTGAAAGAATGGTTGGAGGGAAGACCACAAAGCACTTTGTTGAGGGGAAAAAAGCAAAGGGGGCCAATTGGAATAGGAATAGGAATAAGGATGGTTTGTCCTTTTTATTCCTAATACATACCAACACCATCTCCAAATCCGTCCATTCCATGTGAAAGTATGAATGATTGCTTCAATAAAGCAATTCTTTTCATATCATTTATTTATCCCATCTTTAAGATTTTGAAGATTTCTGCCTTTTTTTAGCATAGCTGTTGGAGAAAAGGAAATTCAGAAATACAGAAATCTTGATTTTAGCATAGCTGTTAGAGATGCTGATGTATCTGGTGTCTCATACTTGAATGCAGGGTTTAAAGAGTATACTGTATGCATATTCTTTTTTTATCTACCATAAGGGGGTAGACAAGTTGTTATGCAAAAACTGACGGATATACATGTCACCATATACTGTTCCTCGTTATTCATCTTTCCAGCTTATTGAAAATGGGATCATTTTGGTTGCATTCTTATCTTTTTCGTTATTGTTTCAATCTTATTCGTGTTGATAGATTGTTATAAATAAACTTATAGACCCTCCTCACCTTTGGTGAGGTTTGAACCCCTGACCTCGTAGGAAGCTAGGGACCACGATACCGCTTGGCCAAAGACCCCTTTGGTTCCTATAATAATTTTTAAGTAAATACATCTTTTTAACTTATTCGATGACTTCCAGATCTATATTGCAACATGATGTTAAAAAGGTAACTAACTCAATTTTGTTGTTTTTAATTGAACACTTACACCATACCTTACTTTTGATGGAATATAAAATTGTGTGGTAGATTTGGAATAGTTTGAAAAGGAAAACCCATGCAACAGAAAGAACGTATATAATATGTACGAATATGAATCTGATTTGAAAGATCATGGACTTGTAACGCATGAAGAGAAAGAACGAGTGATCGAGTTGTTCTTTCATATCTTCGGTTGACCTAAACCACTATCGCTTTTGGTAGGCTAAAGGCAGGTTATTCCTTTTATCGGAATTACAGATTTTTAAAGATCAAGTAAGATACGAATAAAAAAAAATAAAGAACAAAACAAGTCCCGAAAAGCATATGTTATATGCTCCACTAGCAATTATCATCGGTTTTTTTATGTTGACATGTTTAAAACCGTACTTAAATATACAAAACGGGAGGATCAGACCCTAAACCTACCCTCGTCAATATATGATATGGTAAAACGTCACTTAAAGTAAAACGCATGATGAGGGATAACTTCTTATCGTTTTTATTGCCATCATTGTGTTAAAACGTGAGTGCCTGTGTCATTTCTTGTATCTATTAAGACAATCTCAATTTATTCCTATCAAAGTGACAAGACATTTGTCGATTACAGGTCCATTTGCGTACAAATATGATAGTGATGAATTTGGACAGAAAACACATCAACAAGAGAGTGGTCCCACGCAGTTTGTGTTTCGTGGGGTAGGAATCGACAAGCGGAAATGATAAGTCGGGGAGTCTGGTAGAACAAAAAAGAAGGAAGATACGATGAAATGAAGGGAGAAAACTTGGGTCGTGATCATTACTTGCCAACTTTCAACAAAGTGGTTATTGATATGTCCCATCCAGTTCCATTTTACTGTTAGTTTCAATCTGTTATATTCCTAAAAAACATGATTTTCGTGTAAAAAAAAAGTTTATCATGTTTTCAAGTTGCAACAAGATATACAGTAAAATACAGAATAATATCGATTTTATATTATTCGCGAATGTTATCATATCAATAAAAAAATATCAGTATAACATTGTACATCTTGTACTGTAGATTAAATTGAACGTTTGAATACACAGTTTTGGCTTATTAGATACTTCAAACTGAAATCAACGAAACAAACGCTTCCGAAGCTGTATTCGACCAATAAAACATAAATGAGGTAAGAAAATGGCACCGGTAAACGAACCAGTTAAATGTAAAAGGTCATAATAGTACTTGAATGGCATATCATGTGTAAGTCGTATTCAATGTACAATGAAGTAGACAATTTTTCCACAACCATGATACCCCAAGTGCCATACCTTGTTATTACAATAAATTGTCCTCGAGCCACCGCAAAGGACCACACTAGAAATCCATGCAGATAAGTGGGAGACCCATGAAGAGCGTGACTGATTCAACCTACTTTCATGTGCAATCAACTACAAACAGGTAATGAGTTATGAGAACGTACAACTCCTTTACAATATCAACCTACTACAGATGTAGGTGGAGTCAGTAAATACTTGGCCAGAAACCGGTAAATAGATGCCAGATGTAACAAAAAAGGGTCGAGTCTAAAAGGATTGACAAAAACAACCCATCAAAACTGATCCTGATCGACGATGGCCAAAGTTGAAATAATGACATTCGCTCGATCTGTGATGAAAAAAAAGAGGATCTTTAGGCCATATGTCGACCAATAGCCTCGGATTGGAGACAACGAAGTATGAAATAAGGGATTAAGAATTAGAGAATAGAAAAAAGAGATGATAAAGGGGTAAGATTGAAGGAATAAGGTATTGATAGACATGGTGGGGCAA